TCGGAGGGGTTTCCGGCACACACCCGTCGGTTAGCTTACGTTTGTGTTTTCAGGTGGCAAAGCAACGTTGTTTGGAGGAGTGCAAACATGATCAAAAAGATTATACGAGAAGATTATTTCGCGCTCATACAGGCCCTAAGGGGTACCCAAGTTTGTAGAAGGGTGAGGTTATGGGTGTAGTGGGCTAGACCCATTGGATCCAAAATTAAAACAACACACGCGCGCCGCAGCCGTCTGTCCAGTCAGTTGGGCGAGCTGGGTTGGGCTTGTCCAGCCTAATACTTATCTTTTTTGGCCAAAAACATTTGAACTTTATTTATTTATTTTTATTTTTGGTTTCAAAAATCAAAATAAATTGGTTCAAATTTTTTCCCTTCACCCAAACAGTTCCCAACACACCCGAACGGGTTTGAACCTTTTGAATCTTTCCCGGATAGATCTGGAACTGTCCAAACAGTTCAAACAGATTTTCTATCTGTTAAAATCTATCTGAATAGTTGCCTATCTGTTGGCACCTGTTCGAACAGCCACCAATCTGCCTATATAAAGTTTGCTCCAGTAATTCATTTTGCGTCCGAAAAATTTACAGGCTTCTTCCATTTTTTCTTCTGTTCGTCCTCTGTTGCTCCTGCATTTGTTTTTGCATTTATTTTTAGAAAAAGAAAGAGAAAGAATTATAGCATTGTTTGGTTCACCATACTTGATTTTATAGTGCTGTAAAATCAAGTGTTAGGTATTGCACCCTGGGCAGGAATGGCAACGGGGCGGGGCCGGGGATCACACCCCCCGTCCCTGATCCCCGACGGTGGAAATTCCCTCGTCCCTGACGAGGAACCTATATCCACCTTCGCCCCCGCCCCCTACCCCTAACGGGGATCGGGCTTCCCCGACCCTGAAAATTTCCCGGCCAAAAAAAAAAATAGATCCAACAGATCTGTTCATGATCAACAACAACAACAACAACATAGTATAGAGAGAGATGAGCTCAAATGTTAAATAAAAAAAAAAATTCAAATATAACAGATCTGTTCATCATCATCATCATTATCATCAACAACAACAACATAGAGAGATATCTAATGCTCAAATCTAATATATATATATATATACACACATAACAAATCGAGAGAGAGAGATATCTATCACTGGAGAGATATCTGATGCCCAAAGAGACGATGGAGCGGCGGTCAATAGTATAGAGAGAGATGAGCTCAAATGTTAAATAAAAAAAAAATTCAAATCTAACAGATCTGTTTATCATCATCATCATTATCATCAACAACAACAACATAGAGAGATATCTAATGCTCAAATCTAATATATATATATATATACACACATAACAAATCGAGAGAGAGAGATATCTATCACTGGAGAGATATCTGATGCCCAAGGAGATGGTGGAGCGGCGGTTAGAGATAGTGACGGAGGTCGGGAAAGAACTCAAATCTCGGCGTGATGGGAGGAAGAACTCAGCGTGATGGGAGGAAGAGAAAAACTCAAATCTCGGCAGTGATGGGAGGAGGAGAAGGAGGGAGAGGAGGGAGATCGCGGTGATGGGAGTATGGAGATCGGCGGAGGGTTTTAGAGAGAGAGAGAGAGATAAACTAGAGGCGGTGAATCTGTGATGCAGTTGTGTTGCCGTGTTGTGTTGTGTGAGTGAGTGAAAAGGGTTGGTTTATATATATATATATAGAGAGAGAGAGAGGTAAAATGGTAATTTTATTTCAGGGAAATTCGAGGCTGGGGACAGGACGGGCCGGGGCTTGAACACTGATCCCCATCCCCGACCAGAAACTGATCGAGAATTTAATTTGGAATTCCATCCCCGTCCCCACGGGGGTATTTTTCTGGAAAAAACTATTCTAATCAGGGTTGGGGGATCGGGTCCCTGTCAAGTCGGGTTTAAATTGCCATCCTTAATCCTGGGAAGTAGATGTCGGTAAAACTCGAAGTACCGAAGCGAGGGTAAAATCTACTTTAAGAAGATTGTGTCCAACATAATCCTCAACATTAATTTTTGTAAGCATTTAATTTGGGAAATAGTTTATATAATTATTTTCTGAATTATTTTATTTTATTATTTATTTGTTTTATACATTTAATTTACACACACATACACCTTTGTGGGTTCTAACAAATCCATCATATATTTAAATTGAAAAAGATAAAAGAATAAAAAATAATATTTTAATAAAATAGAATTTTAAAATAGAGAGTTTGATGGAGTGTGTACATAAAAAAAGAGACTAGTTAAAATACAAAAGTAAATTTTGGGTTATAATTTGACTCAAAATTTACTGAGACTGATATGGATGCTCTAACAATCTAAAAGGAGACATTTAGAGGTTTTTTTTATTTTTATTTTTATTTTTTATGCATTTTGCCGATCTTTACCACCACAAAATGGAGTTTCAACAAATACGGGGGGAAAAGAGAGCCACTTCTTCGTTTGGGATGTGAGTTGATTTTGGACTTTTTTGGCTTCTTCAGACACGGCTAAAAAGTCGTCTGAGACAAGTTTTTTTATTTTTGTGAGAAAAAAAATAAAATGATTATAAGTTGGATGTGACATTTTGTCCTGTTTGATTAAAATAGCTTATTTTGTCCTATATGACTATTTTAGCTCAAAGTTGCTTCCCAAACATTGCCTAAGAGGCAAGCACAGGTAGAACAAATAAGAATTTTAAAAGTTTTTCACATCTTAACTTGACATTTTTTTTTTTTTTTGTGAAGATCGGAATATAGTTACATATTTAACCTACTCCTATATATACGTATAGAGGGGAAAAGGGAGTCACTAAACGGCAAGGACAGATGGAACAAATAATAACTTAATTTTTTTTTTTACATCTTAAATTTACTAATGGTGAGGCTTGAACCTGTAACCTTCTCATAGAGGGTAACGCCATTGAGCTATAAACTATCAACAATAAGTATAGAGTGCTCTTAAAATACATACTATACAAAATATATTTTTATTGAGTAAGGTCAAGTTTGGCATCCTCCAAAAAATTCAAAAAGTCAAAAAGTCACTATCCTATTTAAGTCACATCATCTTATTTAAGTCACATCATCTTATTTAAGTCATATCATCTTATTTAAGTCATATCACTTCTCTAACACATCACTTCAAACCTAACCCAAATCCAACCCATATTTCATAAAAAGTCAAAAAGTACACTTATTTAGTCTTTCCAAACTTGGCCTAAAATACCTAATAATGTTGCACACTAAACAAAATGGCTAGTGGTCAATATTACCACGCCAAATTGCATCTTCTATTCCTTACTTTTTATATTTTTTACTATTTATTTATTTATTATTTGTTTTCTAGGGATACCCTTACTTGTTTCCACGCCCAAAAGCCTCATGGTGGGCAAGTTATCGCGAAATAAACCTTTTGAGAAAGTAGTATTTAAAATGGGGTAATATTTAAAAGTGTCCAAGTTGCTCAGTATTTAGCAATTTAGGGTCAAATAAATAATTTGACTAGTGATCTGCCTTTGGAAGTTTTGGTGAACTGATCAAAGAAACCTTAAAAACAAATCATAAGTGGGTAAGTAGTATCGTCACAACTATTAGTTATTATTTATTATTTATTAATCATTAATTAATATTAATATTGTAATTTGGCTTCTATCACCAACAGGATCTTTACTGGATCACTTAAAAAGTCTCCTCATCCTCAATCAGGCTTGAGATGACATAACAAACCATACAAGTCAGCCAATAATGCAGTCAAGCCAAAAATTACTTTTATCATTACCAAATACAAAAGAATAAAAAATAAATAAATTATACTGTTCATCTCTTGAATAAAATTTTATTTTGGTTCCCATTTGAGCTTCCGTTTGGGAAGTGGGTTGGCTTTTTGGCTTTTTAGTTTTTTTGGCTATTTTAGCATGGGCTAAAAAGCTTGGTTTGGGAATGACTTTTTGACTTTTTGATTTTTTTGACTTTTTTTGTGAGAGAATAGTGTAATGATTATGGGTTGGATGTGATGTTTTGTTTGTTATGACTAAAATAGCCTATTTTGTTTTTTGTGGCTAAAATAACCAAAAAAAACCCAACCAATTTCTTCCCAAACGGTGCCTGAATATCATCAATTTAGACCTTAGATTTTCAATTTTATTTCAATATGATTCATTGTCATAAATTTTTACTGACAAAAGCCACATACAAGTACAATGAAATATTACAATTTTTACAAAAGAAAAAAGAATAAATAAATTATGTCAATTCTTCTTATAATTTCTTTCCAATTACACTCTTTTTTGAAAAACTTATAAATTTCGCTTTGACTCATCTTTTTGTCTGAAGTTAGAAATAAAAAATATGTGATCAAAATTAATGAAATTAAAATTATGATAAGCATAATTTCATTCAAACTAGAGAACCAAATGTAATTTACCAAATAAAAAATTACACGAACACCTATGAGATTTTGGCAATGGGAGGGACAATTCTTCCGATTTATAAAAACGATTAGACTTCTCACAATATCATCTCCACGTGAAAAAACATTTAGACTTGATATGCCCATTTTGATACTTATTTTTGTGATTTAAACTATTTACTTTCCAAGACTCATTAAAAAAAATATTCATGTAAAAAATTAAAATGATTAAATATCAATAGCTATATATTCAAATCATATTTATTTTAAAAAATAAATAATAAATATAATTTTAAGAATAACTATCTATTTTTTGTAATACAAATTTAATTCAAACGCATAGCTACTCATACCTAACTATCTTGATTTTGTAAATAAATATTATACTCAACGAGAAACAAGAATCACCAAAATCAATCCCAAAATAAACCTAACAAACCCAAACACCCTCTTAAATTAAAATGACTCTTAAATTAAAATGGCCAACTTGAAGAAAGTCAAATCCTATAATAATAATAAAAAACAGCACTACCTATAAATAAAATAAATAAATAAATAAACAGCAATACGCACTTGTTAAAGTAGTCAGACCGCGGAACCAGAAGCAAAAAAACACAAAAAATGTTGTCATTGAAAGAACTCAAATGCTACATTCCACTCTCCATCAAGTTTCAAATCATCAAAACTATCTCCACCCTGCTATGCTCAAACTTCTCACTCAAGCACTCCAGTGGACAATGAAGACTGAAAATAAACAAGGTGTCGGAGAAGCAAACAACATGGATATTTGTTGTATACGAAACCATTGCAAAAGAATGAATGAGAATAATCAAATTACACATGATCTGGATAACCTTGCTTTGTAAAAAAAAAATTTATTTCCTTCTTTCCCCCAAGCCAAGCACCAAAAAAGAGTTCCACCCCTTCTTACAATGCTGGGGAGAACATATGAATTGATCATTACATGTTCTAAGATACAGAACACAACACCAATAGTTTGTTCAAAACGCTTCGGAAGTACCGTCTGCCGTGTGCATTCATTGCAGGGAAACAAAAATGTTTTGGCTTAATGGGTCACGGTCATCTCCATCAAAGATATTTAGTCATCATCTACATCGAAGCACATACTATCAGACTTCAGCTGTCAAGCTACTTTTTCAAGTACAAACTAACAAATGAGATCAGCATGCAGCAAAAGCAAAGTGAATTCTAGAGAGAGAAATTTGGGCGACTTCTAATAGTTATGTTGTACCCATTTCATGAGCAGGAAAAAATTAACAAAAAATAAAGAAACATGAGGCACCCGGTTGGCATGAGCGCATGCATGGATCTGGAGTTTATGAGAATCAAACTCAACACTTGAGCGCTGTTTGTTCTATTGGAAATGAAAACGCGAGGAATTACAAAAAGGGGATTTTGTCCCTTGGTAACGAATTTTTCTGTTACATTGTTAACCTTCTATATTTGGATAGCATGAGAAGACGTATAAATAGCTTAGATTGATACCCAACAAGAATCCCAAAGGTCACCAATGAGCATATAAGCAATGTATTTTAAAAGACTAACAAATAATCAGAGGTAACAGAATTTGTTATAAAAGTACTACTACCCAGTGCACAAGTCACCACTTAAAGCAAATTTGGGAGAGGTAATAGGTAGGCAATCTTTCCCTCACTTTTTTGTGGATTACTAATTCCTGTCACTTAAACCTGCGCCATAAGGCTGGGGTCTCTAGGTACCAAAATTTGTTATCAATAGCACAAATTGTCATGAATCATACACATGGAAGACAGATTTCTCTCGTATCATTTTTAGAACCCACCGGTCAGATGGAGCCTCACATGTTTGCACAAAAAAGCAGCTAAACCACAGCCCAAGTCAACCTTACTGTGAGAACTTATGAAATGATTAATAGCCTCAACTATAATATCAACATTGATCACATTCCAATATTTAATTATCATAAGTTAACATCATTTAACACAAAGCCTTTACTCTTCAATGGCTCAATGAGCAAAAATAAATCTCATTCATCCAAGATTTTGGCCAGTAATTAGCATGCCAGATTCAAAAGTTGATGGATTCTTAGTCACTTCAATGCTTGGTAGCACCACCATTAGTCACATACAGTGAAAAACTTGAGTCCACGAGACTATGAGTAGATTTATGTGAGCAAATATAAGCAACTTTTAACTCGGTCATTCTTAAAGAAAAATTAATTAGTGCAGATAAAATAGAATTTGAACCCAAAAACCATTGTGTCAGAAAATTAGGTTTCCTTCTCATATGCTTAAATTTTGTACGATTTTGGGATATGCTTAATTTTGTAAGATTTGGAAATGCGCGTATACATAGATAGGTAATTATGCATCTTTGTCAAGATAATTTGGAAAGACAAATTTTTCTCCACATACTAAATAGGTAAGTTACTGTTTACCATCATCATTACCCTTTAAACAATTTTTTTTTTTTTTTTCATTTTATCATACGGTAAATAAACTTTGATATGCCTTGCGCCGGCTCAAATTACCAATAACATTGACCAACACTTCCATTTTTTCAATTAAATTTTGGTTCTGGTTGCGATTAATCTACTTCAGTGAAAGAAAAAAAAAAGATCTTTGGCTGTGTTTGGTGGAGACTTCCAAATGCAATTCTACCCCTTAGTTTCAATGTAATGTTTGGTTAGAATTTTCAAAAGTTGATTCCACACCTACTTTTCAAAACATGTCTATCCAGTCATCCTCCTGGACGTCCGGTCGGTTGATCAGAATAGTGCTCATGTTTTTTTTTTTTTGGCACTTGTTATTTTTATATTTTAAATAAAAAATATTTTCAGAATTTTTTTAAATTTTTTTTATGAGCTTTGAATAGAATTTTGAGTTGTGTGTTTAATTATGAGTTGTAAATTTTTTAATCAAATATCATATGTCATATCACTCAATTCAAACTCTTTTCAAAACTAGTAACCAAATAAATTTTCCACACTGGAATCATAATTTCAAAACTCACAAACTCAAAATACAACTCTATTCTCAAATCATAATTCTAAAACTCTACCAAACGCAGCCTTTAGTTTAATATATGTGTCTTCGGACAATTTTTTTTTTTTAGTTCTTTTTTTTCAAAAATTGATTATCGCAGTGTCTTTTATTTTTTATTTTGGGAAAACGATACATGTTTTCACTATTTCCTTGGTACCAGTACCTTTAAAGGATAAAATCATTTATAGAAAATGTAAATAATGTAGGCAATAATTGTTAAGATTCATGACTTTTTAATGTAGCAAAATTTAGTTTAGTTGTACTTACTGGTTCGCGGGTCGACATGTACAAAGAAACTAGCGGCAACAATAAGATAGCTTAGAATAAGCATCAAGCCTTTGAAATAGTTTGATGTCCCTTCCTGTAACAAAGAAAGCAATGGTTATAAAGTCATCCATTCATAAGCAACATTTCACCTAGGATAGGAACAAAAGAAAAAAAAACGAATAGCTAGCTATAATTATTGTGTCTACCACAATAAGAAAAAAAATGAACAAAGAGCAGTCATACAGCATGCACTGCAGAGAAAGAGGCTACATAAAATATGTGTTTCTACAATAGCTAGCTATAATTAATACAATAAATAATTAGTATGTGAGATAAATAGATAACCGAACCTGCAGCATAAATGCCACCACTAACACTGTGATAAAGAGCGTAGCTGTCTCAAAGAGTTGAAAATTCAAGTCCATTGGCTGTCCCATGAACCAGCCAACAACTACACAGAAGGGAATCTGCATTACCAAGAGCACAAGATTCATAAGCCATTAAGCAGTGTGCAGAAGCTTCACTATTTACCCACAACAAATTCAATCTCTCAGTTGGATAATGTGAAATCAAATCAATCACAACTGAGAGAAGAAATGGGAAGACAAATGAGCACGCTAATTGTCTTTAGTTTCTTTAACCAAAAATAATAATAATAATAATAATTTGCAACTAATACAAGAAAAACCTTCCAAATGTTAACATTTAGTGTCAAAATGGAATTGGATATCAAGGCCTTACAACAAACATAGATATCTGTGTAGATGATCCAATTGCGACTCCCAGTGTGATGTCCTATAGAAGAAATCGGGTAAATAAGCTGAATGAATTCAAGTAAGAAATGGTTGTTCGGAGTTTCAAGCACTCACAAGCTTGTCCTTCATGGCAAACATAATAGCACTTGCATGTTCTGCAGCATTTCCTACAATTGGAAGCAGGATGACACTAATAAAAGCCACAGACATGTTCCATGAGTCCGATGCTCCCTGAAAAGATACAGCAACACAATGAAACCATCCATTGCTCACACAAATAGATCATCACCTGGATTCTAAAGTGAATACCATTTGCAATTCTAAAGTGATACCATTTGGTGAAACTAGAGAAATTTCAATTATTTGCACCCATAAAATGATCAAATGCATAAGCAAACAAAGTGATACCATTTTCATAAAACCGTGGCAAATGAATAGAGAAGTAGGTCATACCTGTATAGCATCAACAAGGTATCCAGATAGTACAGACACCCACAAAGTCAAAATAGCAAGCCACCCAATTGCTTCCCACTTACTAATAGCAGGAACCTCTTCTTCAGGAGAATCTTCTGTACTACTATTGCTTTCCTGCAACATATTTGAAGACTGACTAAAGAGGATAAATAGATCCAATGTTATATAAACTAAGGTTCTCAATAATGAATATTTACTCTCTCAAATCTAAACTAATAAAAAAAATTTCAAAAAAAAGGATTATAATATGATCCCATAAATATGGTGGCAATGTGTCTTCAAGATACTGGTCCACATAAATAGCACAGGCCACGAATTTCGCAGAATATGAATACGTGCCTGGCGAGAAATAAGCCTATACATGTTATTGGATATAAAATAGAGACTCAATTAGCTAAGCAAAGCAGGAATCATAAATCAACCTTAGCTTTTCATATTAAAACAATCACATGCCAGAACATCTAATGAGAGTGAGTTAAAAAGAACTTGCCTCATCAACAGAAGCCTCATCCACTGGACCATAGAACTTGTGTTGACTCCTAAGCTGAAAGAAAAGGTAGCTTGCATATGCCACCAGCATTATACAGCTGCTAAATCTAGAAAGGGATAACTCTGACGTCCCAAAATGCACCTCTGTGTGTGTGACGTGAAGTACTGCTGGAAACAATATGCCCATAACAGCCATCAACAACAATCCTGAGCTCACCACTGCAGCTGCCTGTTTTTGAACATTCAAATAGAAATCAGCTTTCCTTCTCTTTTACTTCCTTTTTTTGGTGGGAACCTTACATGGCTAACCGAACTGCTATGTTGATTCTATGGCATCTAGATGATCTACCTGATTGAAACGCTGCACTTTCTGGTGATTTTTTATCCCCCCACAGAAGAAGGCACATCCGAGCACTAACAGCATATTTGATAAGATGGAGCCCAGTAATGATTGCTGAACTACCCTAATCATCCCATTCTTCAATGCATACATTGAAATTATCATTTCAGTAGCATTGCCGAATGTAGCATTTAGAAGGCCCCCAACTGCAGATTCAATCGAAAACTGTCATCTTGTTACAGAAATCCAGGCCCAAGTACGTTAAAGAATAATATTTTTCTTAAGTCGTGAGAAGAATTTTTTTCTCTGGTGATTTAAATTTAATTTAACAGTATATCTGGGTGTGTTATGTAAATATGCATATACAAAGAAATAACAGACAATTTTGGGAGGTATCTCAGCCTTTCAGAAGGCTTACCATGGCCTAATACATTCAATCTCCATTAACTGAACTATTTGAAGCAATGTAAATTAACCATTAATGGCTAATAATTTATGAACTACTAGTATTTACTGATTCACAAAATTTTGATTTCACCAACTGATGACTGCATAACTAATCTTCTAATTATTATTAAACGTTCAATCATATTGCTTGGAATGACTACTCCACATGACTTATATTTCCAGTTCTTCAAATGATATCTAAGACTAACTTCAATTTCTAGTGCAACCTTATGATGTTTATTCATGAATTTACAATTCAGTGTTTTTAACAGTCACGACAAACTAACGTATCACAAGCAACAAGATCAACTTTCTCTACTTAAAAGGATATTAGAAGCTTCAGACATTACTACTAGGCATGCCTGCCAAACTATAGGGAGAGGGCGGTTGCAGGGAGTCGAACGACAAGGATACAGATCAGAGCAATATATTATAGTGTCAAGACATAAAAGCTTGTGTTTACTAATATCCTGGTTTTGCATTTAATTTTCATGGCAAATCATACAACAAGCCAACCCCTCTTGATTCGAATGCAGGGCTTGTTTGTTGAATCATGCAATAAGAACAATAAATATACCTGTAGGTCCTGTGTAGAATGCTAGCTGCCTGCACAAGGGCCAAGTGAAAAGTATATTTAGTATGTTCTGAAGGAAAAAGAGAACGCAACAGCATCATTCAAATGCTAGAATTTAATTTAAGAAGCAAAACTTACTCAGTTGCATAACCCAGACGCTCGGCTAAAGGTGCAATACCCAATAAGCTGAATATGAAGACCCATCCCTGCAATATAACAACCATCAACAAATTAAAACCAAGACAAAGGCATCATGAATCACCAAATCATGACCATAATTACTTGAGAGAAAATGACGTTTAAACATTGCACCACTTCCCTAAAAAACATAAATTACATCATGAGGCCATAAATCTACATTTGAAAATATAATAAAGAAGTCAACCACTGTACTTTTCCATTTTAGCAACATTCCTTTCTGAATGAAGTGAATGAAAAAATGATAACGGAAGTCTGTACTTCTTACATGTTTTCCAGTAAGATAGTGCAGCAATATTGCCAGGGGCCCAAAAGGAAGCAAAATGTTGATCTTTGTATTAATTAAGACTTTGTAAATACTCATAAGAGGTGCCGTCCTGGAAATACTCATGAGAGGTCCCATCCATGTATGCTCATGAAACCATGAATTGGAAAGCTTTGCATGTGGCTCAATATAAGATACTTCACAACCAAAAGTGTATGCTTTACTTGTAGCTTGTGATGAGCTCAAAGGGATCGCCTCATCAGATTTGAGGTATGTCTCCTCTATATCTCCCATCTGCCCACACTGATAATCTCACTAATCAAACCCAACAGTCATACAAAGCAATGCAAGTTCAACACAGAAGCTATTTACCCATTTACATTAATTCAAGACCATGCATCCAGAACAGGATGAATTCATTGACACCGTTATATTGAGTCAATTGAAATTATTGGAAAGCTTTGCATGCGGCTCAATATAAGATACCTCACGACTAAAAGCGTATGTTTTACTCATAGCTTGTGATGACCTCAAAGGGATTGCCCCATCAGATTCGAGGTGTATCTCCTCTTCATCTCCCATCTGCACACACTTATAATCTCACTAATCAACCCCAGCAGTCATACAAAGCAATGAAAGCTCAACACAGAAGCCATTTACCCATTTACATTAATTCAAGATCATGCATCCATAACAGGATGTTATCATTATATTGAGTCAATTGAAATGATATGATCCCACAACAATCACAGGTGACAATATGAAGTCAGATAACACAGGCTACATTAACTCAACTTATTTCTATTGATTCCGCAAAACAATCAAAACAAATTTCAAAATAAAAACGGCCAGAACATGTATGTGCCTAGGTGGGTAAGCAACTTTTGCTAACACTATAATTTACGTCTAGATCTTGAAACACATAAATGTTTTCTCCCCAAACGGAGGAAGGATAATGGCTAATTTACCAAAGGTCAACCAGATTGAGAAATCAATGTTTACAGTTGCTCATGGAGCATAGAAATAGCATGTAAAATATGAGCCAAAATAGATGAATAAGTGAGCGATTGGCTGTCCCATGGAAATAAAATTTCATCCTGCTTACACAACTATATAACAAGACCATCTATTTGCCTCAGCATTCAAAACAATTCCATCTCATATTACATAAAAGGTCACTAATCTCTTTCCAACAATAACCCTTTCCACTGTCATTGCCTTTTTCATAAAAAAAAATTTAATGATTTTTTTTATTTTATGAGTAAGATAATATTAAAAGAGGCACTAAGGGAATGCACAAACCGAATACAAAGAAAAACTATACCAACTATACACTAAAAAACTATTCAAATCCAAAAATTAGTTCAAGGACTGTTCAACCACCCTTGAGAACCAACTATACAAGAAAGAGGACAAAAGACTTTTAATTTAAAAAATGGGCCTCTAAATACCAACAATTGATCTTCTATCCTTTTCTCCCCAATGTAACCACAAAATGACCAATGGAGCTCCTTCTGCTACCCAGCAACCACTCCAAAAAAAGATAACCAAGCAACTACAAACAAAAAGAGAACCAAAGACCAAAGCTCTTGAGCTACCTCACAACGTAGAAATAAATGATTTACTATTTCCTCATTGTGCTTGCATATACAACACCAATTAACATGCAATTGTCTCACTGAATGGTTGTGCTTTCAATAGTATTTCATCACCATCACTTGGGACACGGAAACAAGAAATAAAATTGGCTACATGGCAGACGCAGTATTTGTCGAAGGGCAAAAGGACTCTAAATAAGAACACATTGTCTTGCTTGCCTACATACTTTGTGTCCTCGTTTATAGTTCCTATATCAGTGGCTCGTGTGTAAGAGAAGTTAACAAGAGACTACCCTCGAGGTGGGTTACATATTATCTTGTTGAGTGGAAGGTACTGCATTTGCCTGAGGTCGGGGGTGTATTGGGTCTAAAAGATATGGAATTGTTTATACTTTGACAGAAATTGTATTAGCAACCTTGCTTTTTTGGATTCTTGATGACTTTTCCTTTCCGTTATATTCTTTTACAAATATATTGGGGCATTTGTACATCCCACAAGATATATTGTGTTTTTGGTTATAGCATTTGAGTTAGCCTTTTCTGCATACATGAGGTCAACTCCAGAAAGGAAACATATTTTGAAAGTAGTAGCACCAGCAAAGAATATTCCTACAGAAAAGTTTCAAAACTCAATTGCATAACTTTCCAAAAGCTGTTTCACTGAAGTAATATCATCCTTTTAAAATGAAACAATTTTGTAAAACATTTTTGGATATCAAAAGGGTATGTTGCTGGAAATCATCTATTACCATTTACCAACAGCTACACTTCGAAGTATACAAAGTAATGGAATCCTCTAATCTTAAGTAGAAGTCCACATATTGTATTTGGCGGCCAAAGGAGAGTAAGTGTGCAAGCAATTCAACAAAAAACTAACATCATCAAGTACCAAAAAACATGATATAATGTAGGGGTGAGAATCTCTGACACACCACATTAATACAACAGGAAACATACATGAAATTAGCGAGTTAAAATTGACCATTTTCAACACGAACCAAGTTATCACACGCACAGCAAAATAACAAGAAAAATAAATGGGCCAGGTTAGTGTCCAATGAATTGACACATTTAGTAGAGGATTAATACGCATTTCAATGTTACATTATTATTTCCGCGTCATTAATTGCTTAACTGAATTATAAAGATGTAAATTATAGGATCAATATAGTCTTTTTGTTTCTAAATTGAGATAATTGTTGAAACTAAATATTTTCATAAATAATTTCATCTAGTAGACATTAGTTTCATTAAGGCTCAGTTTGTTTCGACGTAGACACAGAAGAAAATGTTTCTTTTTTTTTTTCTTTGGTGTTTGGTTAATACGTGAAAAAAAAAACATTTTATTGCCTAAAAGAAAATATAGTGTCATTTATGACTTTTTAGTGAGTTAAAAAATATTTATTTGAAAAAACTAAATGTGTTGAAAAGATAATTAGTGAGTGCGGGTACTTATATCAAGCTCAATACGCGGCAAGCCCTACCACATCATCAAAACCCCACCCACGTGGTAGACCAATAGGGCACCACGTGAGCATGTCATATGTCTGATACACGGTGAGTCCTACGGGCGCCGTGTGCCAAGGCACCACGTAAAACCAAGACTATATGCTTAGCCTAAACGGGAACATACATATAAGCCCAAACATATCAGCCCAAACATATCTAAATATGAAGTAGATATGAAGAGCCCTGCAACAGGCAGCACCATGGCCCCGCAAGGCCCATGGTCCTTCATACCTCGCTCCAAGACCAAACAACAATATAATCAGCCCCCGGTTCACTTGGACTTGGACTGATAAACATTGGCTCTCCTAAACATTGAGATAGGCCCGTGGCCCATTCTCCTTCTTGATCACTTGGAAGTGAGCCCCTTTCCTAAACATTGAGATAAGCCCGCGGCCCATTCTCCTACTTGGTCGCTTGGAAGCGAGCCCTGCCTCTCCTAAACACTAAGGTGGGCCCTGGCCCATTCACCTACTTGGATGCTTGGGTTGGGAGCAAGACCCAGGCACTACTGCTCGGGATCATCAGAGGATATTGGACTGGCGACTGAGGTCATGGGATCGTCGAGATGGTTGTTTTCTTGCTAAGACAACTCAATCTTGACCAGGCTTGGAGAAGAGGCAACAACGATCTTACATTCATGTCATCTGATGCATATACAAAACATTACTTTCTGTCTGTCATGAAACGTTGCTCTCCGGCTGCCGTCAAGCCACAGACGGCAGAAAGGATATCACTTCTGGTAGAATTAAGGAGAACGAGCCACCAGTCCAACAATTTGCTTGGGCTCCAATATTCCTGTGGCCTATATAATGTATCGTATATGCAGCAAGACAACACAACAATACAACTCCATAATTCTAACACACTAAGTCTCACATCCAAATGTTCTTTCTCACATTCTACATCAGTGTTCAAGATCTATCACTGCCAACCTCTTCCTCTCCAAGCTTGCCTTAGCCTCCCCCTCTCCACCTCCAGTGATCTCAGGCCATTGGAGTGCCCACCATCTTCCCAGACTACCTCTAACCACACCTCTCACCCACAATGAGAATCTAAAAATTTACTTAAAATCACTTTTGAGAAAATGATATAAAGATATTTTCTTTAAAAAAATGTTTTAATTGCATTTTGTTCGACCAAACAACGGAAAATTTACGTCAAAATAAATGGAAACTAAATTAATTTGTTAAAAAAAAAAACCAAAAAACAAAAACAAACAAACTTGACACGATACACTAATAATAATAACACGAGAAAATAAACAGGCTGGTTAGTGTTGATTAGTGTTGAGAATATTCTGACATAAATTAGAGATAAAAAGCAATTCACAATCTTAATATAAAGCATATTATAAATCAGATCAGCTCAGCAAATGAAAATTAAGACCTCAAGCAATCTATGAAAAGACCAGTGTAGAACAACAAAAAAAGAGTCACAAACATGTTATTTCCACTAGAAAAACCAAGAGACCTAGAAAGTCTGGAAATAAAGCTAAGAACTCGAGTTACCTGGAATTACTCTCTCGATCTAAACGGTTCTGGTTTCAAAACGATCCACCGTTTGAGCCTCAAGCAACAGTCGGCAAACCTAACCAGTATAATAATGAACTTCAACTTCAGATACACAAAACCGACATTACATATACATACACATATACATACATATATATATGTATAGAGAGCGCGACATTACATATACATACACATATACATACATATATATATGTATAGAGAGCGAGAGAATGAAAATGGTGAGATCGGTAGGAGATAAAGTAGAAGGACCGGCTTCAGCTCCGGTGAGAGAGAGTCGGCTTCAAGAATTGTTCTTCGTCTGCGTTACGACTTAAGAACCAAGAGATACGGTAGAGAGAGAGAGAGAGAGAGAGAGAGAGAAGGGGGGTGACGGTGACGGTGACGGTGACGGAGATGGCGTTAAGGGGCCGGCCAAAGGAAGCTTCGACGAAGCAGCGCTCCAAAAATATTTTAATTTTAAATTCTTTTGTTTTTCTTGTTTATTGGTTTTTTTTTGACAACGGTGGTTTCGTGTCATCAAGATATGGAAACACTCGGGATATGACAAGAGTTGGGTGAATTACATTTTAACCCTCTATTTTTAGTCATATTTCAAATTGTTTTCAATTTATTCTAAAAATTAATTTATGAGGTGCCATTTAACATACTATTTTTTTGTTTAATTTTGAACACAAGTTGATTTTAGAAGTAAATTAAGAAATTTATAAAATGAGATGTCACAGTTAATGTAGTATTTTTTGTTTAATTTTAAACATAAATTAATTTTAAAAATAAAATAAAAACTTAAATCATGAAAGGTCAAAAAGGAAAATATTCCAACATAAAGGGGCCAAATGTAATTTACCCGATAAAAGTGTGGCCGTGACACGGTACCGACAGGTGTACAAAAATCTTGAAGTTTCTAACACATGAAATGGGTAAGAAAATAGATTTTCTTTGCGGATTGAAGCGTAATAACAGCATAACTGTCCGGTTTGGCTTTCCCTAATTATAATTAATTATCAATTCAAAGACTCTTACAACACTCCCCATTATTAAATTTAGATTTGATTTTTTTAATTTTTATTTTAAAATAGTGCTGCGAAATAAAATCCTAACGTGTCATGCATGTTCAGATATCATCAAGTTTTTCAAATGCCTCAAATTTTTATAAATAAAATTATACGAACTTTATTTTAAATTTTGAAAAATAAATATAATTATATTAAAAAAATTTAAAATTTTAATTTGCATAATATTTAATTATTTTTATTAGTAATTCATTAATTATATAAATAAAAAAATAACATTGTCAAGTTTTTTGACTTTATTTATATTTGTGAAAATAATAATATTATTGTCTCTTTTACCCCAAAATGTATATTTCACTTTGTTTATATTTTTGTCTTCCCACTAAAAGAAATTAGTATAATTATACTAAAATTGTAGAATTTATTATATTTTTTTTCATAATTTACCTAATTTTTATTCTTATTGAAAGTCAAGCTTGTCTCTAGTTTGGAGAATTGAACTGGACATATTAGGGCATTATTTGGCATAAATTAAATAAATGCACTTATTTGGGTCACATTACTTCTCTATTTTTTTACACATCTTTTCATAAAAAGTAAAAAAAATATATATTTATTTAAATTATCTCAAACAATCTCCTAGCTTGAGCAATGAAAGTTTGTCATGTCGATATTTTTATAAATTAATAATTCAGATTTTATCCACCTTTTTACAAACTCAATATTTAATAAATTAATGATTTGATAAATCTACATATTTGGTTTATAAAAAAAGTATTACGGTAATACAACGTAAGAGGTCAGGCTATTTCCTGTAATCCATGTACTCCAACTTGAGAGAAACAATTCTATTTATCAAATGGCCCCATTTAAAAAAAAAAAAAGATCTTTCTCCAAAGGATGTAAAATAAACAAACAAAACAACCTATCAAGGCTAAATAAAAATAAATAAATAATAAAAATTCTCCGTTAAAAAAAAGAGAGTTACAAGCCGGTTCTTTGAACCAACTTAATTCTCAAGAAGTCCTGACCCAAAATAATTTTAGCACATCTTTTATTTTTACCCCTTACATTTAGTTGAGTGATTTTACTCTAAACCCAAACGCATCCCTCTCTCTCTTTCTTATTTCTGCCACTAGCACACCATCTCCTCCTCCTCTATCACCATATATGTCACTCGGCTCAACCACCATCTTCATCTATCATTGTTAACAACACTCGCCTCAACCAACGCCGCCGTTTTCCTCTTCCCTCACCTATCACCACCGTACTTTTCCTTCATTGCCATCACCGCTGTTTTTCCTCCATCATTCATCTGCTAGCTTCAACACCGCAATCCTCCATCATCGATCCACCATCTTCTCCATCATTGTTGCCACCATCTTCCTCCATCATCGATCTACCATTTTCGACATTGTCGTTGCCACCGTCTTCCTTCATTACTGGTTTGGGATACAAAGTATCCAATCAGTGCATTGAAAAGTGTTGTTGATCTTCTATAGACATGTAACTAATCTAATAAATTTATTACTTAATTCAGTAATAAATTTATCACTCAGTAATTTATGAATGATAAATTTATCAGATTATAGATTTGTAGGTGTAAGTGTGGGTATTTTATCAATGGAATGACATAGCACATACAAAATAAATAAATTTATCAATACTTCATAATAGAATGTTGTGATGTCCCTATTTCTCAAATCAAATTTGCTATTTGTAAATTTTTTATCAAATTCAACAGTGATAAATTTATCAATGCAACTCTAGCTGAGATTTGTTGCATAATAAATTTATCACTGAATCTGACTTTTGATCCTTTGTCTTGATTTGTGACAGTGTAAAATGATGAGAATTATTATCTGGTAATGGCTTCTCATCTCTCTCCTTTATTCTCTTCATTTTTTTTTTAATCTTTTTCTCTCATCACCATCAAATTTGAGTATGTGGTTGCGGTAATGACGTGTTGGAGATGAAAAATAGCACAAAAAAATATTGTCGGAGGTCGGAGGTAGTTGCTAGAGGTCAATAATGGTCGTGGAAGGTTAGAGGTGGTCGCTGGCTATCGGAAGTGGTGGTTGGTGGTCAAATCATGGTTCGCAATTTGGAGTTCAAAAACAAAATGGGAAACTAGAAAAAAATAAATAAATAAAACAAAACAAAACAGGGATAAAAATGAGAAAAAAAATTATAATAAGACTTAATCGTGCATAAAAATATAAGACAAGTAATAGCTTAAAAAAGCAAGACCGACGGGTAGATTACCCTTAAAAAAAAGTGCCTAAAGGTCCAATAAAATAAAAAGAAATAGCTTATCTCTAGTCCATTGTGGGATTGGATCCACATAGTTTGAGTTTGTTATCTACTACATATGTGAAAAAATCATATGATCAAGATTATTGGATTAATTTTAAAGACAAACATGATAAAATCATGTAGATGTGATTATCAAATCAATCTTATTTTATGAAATGAACATATGAATTAACAGAAAGTAAGACTAGTAGTCGCTAAGCTGATTCTAAAATAAAAATCATGCTTATCCCTGGCCTCAATAATAAATGTTAAATAAAATGGAGATTTATTAGAAAATCTTTTTTTAAATGTTTGTATCTCAATTAATCCATAAGATATTATTATATTCTAATAAGTCCTATTATTTGAACATTTGATCTACCAAATCTTAATTCTCATATTTAAAGTATTTTATAGACATTTCTACCCTTATAAATATTTTTTGAACGGTTAGCAATATGGTGATGTGAAGATTAATATTTTACAATGTGAATATTCAGATTGATATGTGAACGTTCACATTGACATGTGAACGTTCACACTAACGATGTGAACATTCACATTGACGGTGCAAACATTCACATCACGAAACATTCATACTGTAAATATGAATATTATTAGGGGTATTTTGGTAACTATATCACCCATAAGACTTATTGGAATATGAGAAAATAATGTAGACTAAATGAAACACAAGTAGGTGAAAAGAGATTTATGAAAAAATGCCCCTAAATAAAACACCTTTAGAAAAGAAAAAAAAAATGATCCTCACCTAAAAACATAAACAAAATAAAAACTTTCTTCCTAAGGTACCCAATAATGAAGATGGTAAAACCACCTTCAGAAGCAAAATGGATATTAAAAGAAGAAAGTTTACAACGTTAAAAGATAATAAATAAGTATTAAGTCATGTTTGATTTATAATTTGAAGAATCATTTTCTAAATGAAGTTGGAAGTAAACAGCAATCATTTGAGGCATCTTCCATTCATATGGATTTGGATTATGAATTTTAATAAAGTTTTTAATCAAATTTTACTCAATTTTAATAAATAAAAAATAATTAAAGACTGAAAATGACCTATAAAGACTTGAACCTAGGTGCGCTCAATAATTGATAATCTATTTTTGCACGATTCACTCAATGAAAAAAATATTAAGTGTTACAATAATATTGTTATTAGTGGTATCATCAATTAATAAGATGATCAAATAAGTGAGGTAGAAATCGACTTTCTTCAACTTAATCGATTATATAATTCCCACTCGATCTCATTTCGACTATTTGTTGATTAATGATATCTTGTGACAAAATTATATAATATATTATCTTTATATTCAATATCTACATAGGATGTTCTATGTTATGAAAATATATTGCATGTTGGGAGAATATCATATGACACTATTATATAGTACATTTGATCAACTATAAAAATATATGTTCCTCACTCTCTCTCTCAAATATCTAACATAAATGTAATAAATTTTACCATCACATCAATCACAAGAAGAAAAAATACCATTACATCTATCCCCCTTGCATTCAAAAATTTCTTCAACACTAATGTAATCTTTCTTTCTACTTTTTTTTTTTTTTTACTTTTTACTTTTAATTTGGTGGTGGTTATTCTATATTATTTTTATCATGTGATCTATTTTCCATTTTGGGAAGGCATTCTCCCACTTCATCATTGTGCGGACCAGTTTCCGCAATAGAGTAAGATGGAACTTCGTGGACAAACCCTGGTGCACCGATGGGTAAAGGCCTGCACAAGGAACAAATAGTTAGGCTACCCGACCGGGGGTTGGTCGGAAACCCCACCGACGGTCAAGTCAATACCGGAGTTTGGTAGAAACAAGATAGAGAAGACCAGTGTGTTTCTAGAGTTAAGAGATCGCCCCTTTCAAGGAGAGTAAGTTTACCTTTTATAAGGATCGTATGACTTATTCATCAAGCTCCCTCGTTCTCCACCTGGTCCTCAGCCGTGATGGTAGCACATCCCTTAATAGAGGAGAGCAAGTTCCGTCATTTGTGGGCACCACGTGCCTTTTACTTTACATTGATCTGTTAGCACTCATGTGTCGTTGAGTGGGAGCCTTGGAGCCCATGTTATGGACTTACCCACTTCGGAGTAGAGAGTGGTACTAGGGCCAGGCCCATGGTCTTCCTCTCTTCGGAGTGG